AACCACCTCAATTTGTGGTTTTTTTTTTTTGTTTGTATACTATCTATCAAAGTTTATAATGTTTCCGTATGATATGATGTGGTAGAAATTATGCATCATATATTATTTTTCATTCTTAAATTCAAAACCAATTGTTGATGTATTAATGAAACAAATTAATATAATTGTTTTTTTCGAATTCCCTTGTGTTATACATACTTAAAAATGATTTACAAAAAAATTAGATTCCAAAATTACAAAATCAAATAATGAACAAATAAAACTAAAAATATCCAATCAACTTTCCAATATGTATCTCCACCTGCAAAAAACACAAACATATTTAATTACATAAATTATTAACGTAGAATAAATAAGACATAGAACTTCGTTCCTAATTATAAGCATTTTATTACAAGCTGAAAGATAGTAAAACCGCTTCGAGGGCTTAAGGCAATAACAGGCCCGTCTTAAGGGGGTGGCAGCTGGTGCGACGCCCAAGGGCCCATGAGGCTGGGGGCCCATGAGTATACTATATACATGTATAGTAGATGTACTAGTCCAAAATTTTACTTTTGTTTTACATTTTTAAATGTATTGCCTTTTTTATTGGCTAAATATACATTGCAAATTATCTCTTATAAATAGTACTATATACTCCAATTGTTATATTCAATTTTTAATTAGATTGTCGGGTCCTTAGTGTCTTGCTTGCCCAAGGGCCCTCGAAATTGTTGAGACGGCCCTGGGCAATAACAGTAAAAGAAGAGGTCGAGCTCTAGCCTTTGAGGCGACAACGACCAAGTATGGTGAACTGGACCATACCCATGATTGATTGATGAAAAAGTCGGGAGTTTTGCTGGAGAAAAAGAGAGCTCGCTGGAGGAGTCAGTCAGAAATCTGGTAGTGAAGTTGTTGAAATCATTCTGCAAAGAAGGGACTAAGAATGTTGAAAATAGTGAAAAATGTTTTTCATAAGTGAAGTGAGGCTTTTATAGGTAAGAGAAGTATTCGTAGTAGCCGGTCGAGTCGATACAACTACTGGATTAACAAATGATCGAGGGCCCAAGATTATGGGCCAGAAATTGATAAAACAGCCCCACATGGACAGGGGATGGAGAGTATTTCAGTAAAAGTCTCGGTAGCTCATTTTGAAATGGAGAACTAAATGATATAGCACTCAGCGATCAATTGATTTGAGTTGTTAGCTCGAGTATGGCCGGTTCGAGTGAGCTTCAACTTGGTATCAATGTTTGACCTCTTCACGGAGCTCGTTTGGGCAACTCAGGGTACGGGTTGACTTGGTTAGAATACATATGAGCCGAAGTCCTCCACGAGCTTGGACAGATGAGAGGACCTCATGACCCAAAGGTCGTGAGAGCAAAAGGTCGTGGTTGTGACCTGGTAAGAGTTTATGACAGGTAGGTCACAAGGTCACAAGGACGATATGGAGACTTAAGAATTGGATGGTAAGAGGGGATAAGATCCTGCTAAAGATGGAAAGTGTATCTCACTAAGGAGCTTAATATTCGAGAGACGTATTATGTTAGGAAAAAGATACAACATAATCTCTTTCCCAGCAAGAATTCTACTTGGGCAGCAAGACACCCTTGGGTATATAAAGGGTTATCAGGTTTAGGTTTTATATATCACATAATTACTCTTGCAACATACAAGTTCTGATATTCTCACGAGCGAGTACTGGCTTGAGTGTCAGAAGTTTTTCTGTCGGGACCCTTCCCGGAGTATTGCATGTTGACGTAGGTCAATTCATATTAGTGTCGGTTTAGCTCGATTTAAGAGGTAATGCATATTAATGGGTACTTCAGGAGTTACTTTTTAGTGGGTTGCGGATTTCATGTTTAGTGGGATCTTAAAACCCATTCAAACTGTTGTATAATCATATTGGTGCGTAGATAATGAAGCACACACAAATTAAATGATAATTGAATCCCTCAACAATAGACTTCTATTATCAAACGAAATTTGTGCTCGTACAAATTTCTTGTCTCACAAGTAGAAAACCTTCTACAAAGTCTAATCTATACTCTATTTGATAACTCTCACGGCGACTTCCATCGACTTCTCAATGTTTACTCCGGCAAACCTTCGGTGGTTGAGCATGCTCTAACCTAACACAAATTGAAGATTCATTCTCCCAAAGACACTTCCAAAATAGTGATATATCCGCTACAGTTGCTTGAACTTTGAACACCCAAACAGAGCAAAATCATTTTAGAGTTAAAAAAATCGAGAGTACCTTCCCTCCCAAAAAAAGGCATTATGATGGACATTCATTTCTCGTAGAATCATCACACGATTCGATATGCGACCTAATCCTATTTGTTAAGGGCTACCCAACTTATTCTCTAAAGAAGAAGAAATAATTAATCTCTTAAAAAGACTCTTCTCATAATTTAAAAAAAATTATTCATTTGTATGTTCAATTCAGCTACTTGAGATGAGTTTCGATTTAACTTTTATCTTATAAAGAAATATGTAGTAATCCATGAAAACAAACAAGTGTTGCATGGATGTTACTAAATAATGACATTATAAAAATAGAAAAAAAAAATAAACGTAACAAATCCTCCTATATATAATTCTTTAATTGGCAGGCTCGCATGCTTCGGAATCTTATGTGTCAAAATGTCATGCTTTGTTATTTGGCTTAGATAAGATTACCATAAATATGTTGATTTATTTATTATCATTTTAGATGTATTAATTGTATTTTAATATCATTTCCTAATAACTATTGAATTGTAAATGTATTTTAAAAGTTGATAACTTTTGTATTTTTTATCGGTTTTACATATATAATGCATCAAATTAATCATCTTTTGATGAGTTTCGATTTGATATCCATATTGTATATATAAAATAAATAAATTATATTTATCTTTACAATAATAAAAAAATATTAATTAAAAAATAAATTATTTCACAATTAATATATTCATGTTTAATGTAGTTCCTAGTACAACGCCCGTGTATTACACGAGTGTTTGCTAATTTTTTCCTTAAAATCTAATATTGTTGAGAAAAAGTAGTTGAAAATTTAAATACCTTTTATTAAAATATATATATTATTATATATTTAGTATGACACTTTTTATTTGTTTGACTTATTTGTGTTATATTATAATTATTTTTTTAACTTACAACATATAATACATTAAATATAAATATATCAACTGAGAAATAATTTTATTTTTTTAATAAATTTTAATAAACATTATTATTTGTTATGATTATAACGATAAATATAATATATTTATTTTATATATATACAATATGGATGTCAAAACGAATATCATGAAAAGATGATTAATTTGATATATTATATATGTAAAACCGATAATAAATACAAAAATTATCAACTTTTAAAATACATTTATAATTCAATAGCTAATTGAATGAAACAAATCAAAAGTCAGGGATGTATTAGTCACTTAGTATCTCGCTATGTAAAATTACAAAAAATTAAAGGGTTATATTGTACAAGTGATATTAAAATACCTTAGTTAGCTAAATAATATTTATGGAATATCTGAACCTAAATTATTAATTATTAATATCTCAATATTATTTGTCCAAACCTAATTACGAAGCATGATTCTTCGCCAAGTAGGATTCCGAAGCACCAAAAGCAGCCACGTAGGCTCAGCGCATTCGAGAATTATATATAAGAGGGATATGTTATAAGTTAAAAAAAATATTATAATATAACACATGAAAGTCGCACACGTAACAAGTGTCATACTAATATATATATATATATATATATATATATATATATTATTTAAATTTCAACTACTTTTTCTCATTAATTTTAAATTATAAGAAAAAATTTTAACAAGCACCCGTGTAATACACTGACGTTGTACTGTTATCTATTATTATATAATAGCAATATGGATTTATTTTAAATAGAAAGTAAAATCCCGCCTAAAAATTTAGATTTTATTACAATTGGTAACGTTCTTGAAATTCTTTGAAAAAGTGACGGTTGATTTGTAATATGAATTTCAAATTCATTCAAATATTTAAAGGGATATAGTATAATCAATTTTTTTTGGATACATTTCATTTTATCTTAACTTACATATAATCACATTCAAACAAACATTGTATTTGCTTATGTATTTCTACATTAATTAGACCAATAAACATTATGAATATACATTAAATATTTATCATTACATAAAAAAAATGTTACTTATATAAGTGTTATAAATAATAATGACACTATATGACAATAAATTTTTGAATAAAATAATATTTGAGTATTATGATGAACCAAAATGTATAAAATTATTATTTTTTATGTATTAAAAAATAAATGTATATGTTAAAATTTTATTTATATTAATATAAACGAGTCACCGAGCTGATATATTGTTAAAATAGTCTTAAAAAAACATTATAAAGTACGAAATCCCGTACATCGCATGGAATTCTTACTAGTTAATATAAATACTAGTATGAGTCTCGTGCAATGCACGGATAAGAGATATACAATTACATATTTTAATTTATTGATAATGTTATATAAAGTTTAAATTGTAAAAAATTATATAAAAATGTCTATTTAAATTTAGTACACAACCCGTGTGGTGCACATAACTGTTAATAAATCACATTATATTCATTCCAACCCGTGTGATGCAATTTCTATAAGTGATCATTTTAAATATATCTTAAATTATTAAATTAATTTCTCGAAATAGTTAATAGATTTTTTTGGAAGGAAATAATTACTATTTAAAAAAAATCAATTATATATATATATATATTCACCAAATGTGCAATTTTATAAAATTTAACATTTAATATTCGTTTCACCAAAAAAATAACATTTATTTATTCACCAAGAATATTTGTTTCAAGAAATATTTGATTTGAGTATTATTCACCAAACATGTATAATAAATTAACATTTAATTCAAACGAAAATTGTATAAGTTTATTCAGACGAAACATTCATACTTTTATATTAAATGTTAATTTATTTATTCATCAAAATTTTTGTGGAGTGTGTAAAAAAAAAAGATATGCTTTCCAAATTTTAAAGTGGATTTGTTTCAATATTAACAAACCTAATCTCAAACATCTTAAAATTGATTGTTTATCTAACTACCGAAAATTTCAAACAACAAATGAAGAATTGCGATAATGAGCAAATTTTAAATTTGGGAAAAATTCAAATGATTCAGCTACATGCGGCATCCGAAAATTTTCAAATAAAATTTATCCGATTTTACCAAATCCCTTCAAAAAAAAAGGAAACTTTCGATTCTTACAAAATCCCTTCCAATAAAATAGATTCATTTTGAAACTATTTTCCATATAAATCGGATTTAGACCAACTCCCTTTCAAAATAAAAAGAAATATCCGATTTCTTCAAACTCGCTTAAAAAAAAAAGATTTCAAAATACATATTTAAATAGTAGGCGGGATTATTGAAATGATTCAAAAAATTGACCTAAAGTAAAAAAAATGAAACACAAGCGGAATTTGAAGCGAGAAAATGAAATAATTATTTTCGAGTTTTTCAAACATTTTTTTCTTAAACATATTATGTAGTAATAGATTCTTTACTTTTACTCTATACATAACATGGGTAAAACCATTGAAAAAAATATGCTAGTTATTATTATAGATTTGATGCACAAATTCAACCGTATAAGAAACGTCCGTCTCACATACACAACACAGTAGTTTTCTGCGGTTCTGCTTAGAACTGTAAAAACCCAATTGATTATAGCATTTTACCCTTTAATTAATGAATTCATTAATCATTAATTCCCAAACCCCAATATTTTTACACATCCAAATTTCCTATAATTAAGGAAGTAATCTTCTTGATCATCTGGAATTTCAATTGAATTTCAATTATATTAGAAACCAAGCATTATTAATTTATCAGACTACAGAACCCTGTTTTGGGTTCTTGCGGGCAAATTTTCTATACTATTTGCAGATGTATTTAGTTCGTTGTCAACGCTAGTTTTCCGATTAGATGCGTTCGTATGGGTTTGCTTATTTCTGCTATATTGGGCTGTAGAAAAAGGCGAAAATGGGAAGGATTTGTAGTGGGTTTTTGTTGCCGCTGTTACTTCTGACAGGTTTATGTTCATATTCGAGGTTTTCTATAGTATTTTTCGTGCCGATTGTTGCTAAATGATGTTTCTTTATGGTTACAACTCCAGTATGTTTTTTTCTTTGTGTGTATCCTGTTTGTGTGTATGCCTCAGAGGTGCTTTAGTTACTAACTGTATGTTTTGTTTTTCGACCAAATTCATTCAAGATTCTGATTATTTTAGTTTAACTTCAGTCTTTTCTTGGGTTATAAATCTTATTTGGTAAACATCCCTTACTTTTTCCTTCAAGATTCATTTTTTTCTGAGTGATTTTCATTCAAGATTTTAGCGAGCGTGTTCAAGATATCTTTGCTTGCATTTTATGTCTCAAGATAGCTTCATCTTATGCTCAGTCGAAAGTCGGAAAGACTGTGGAGGTTGTGTAATATATAATTTGTTAGCTCATCTATCGGTTTTGTTTGCTTAATTGTTGAGTTAGAATATTTAAATCGAAAGTGTGTATATTGAATCGAAATAGGAGATAAAATGTGTGAAATAGGAGCAAGATAACTCAAATCTTGTGCTTGTTCTGATATGACTATTTGACAAGCTTACATTTTCAATTTAAACATTGCAGGATATGCGTTACATTTATATGGACCTATTTTCAGCTACTAATTCTGATATTTGTATCTTACAGTCAATGTTTTCTTTTTGCAGCTGGACTACTGAACTGGAGTCTGATATCCTTCATTAGTCTGCTGACTTCTCTTATTTTCCGGTTCGCTTCCCCAAAAATAGGTAATATTTTCTCTGTGTTCTAAGATTTAACTACTTGGTCATCTGCTGAGAAGACAATAATATCTATATCACCTGTTTGCGTTGATTATTCTGTGATGGAATTTTTTAAATCTTCTGATACTTTCTTCACTCCCTCCCTCTCTCTCTCTCTGTGCACCTTATTCCATTCTCCTCTCTTTTATGTAAATTTGCAGGATTCCGGTATAGAGGAAGATTCCTATTGTGGTTTTCTCTCGTATTCTCAGTTGTTGTGATTATATTGGAAGTAACTTTTCTTATTCTATGCTCAACTTTGGATTCTCAATGGAGCATAGCAAATGCATGGTGGATGAAGCTATTTGGACTTATGAAGTAAGTCTTGTTTTCTTGTATTTCCTAGTTATCCCAGTTGCTGCATGGCTTGAAGCACATGATTTTTATTTATTTATTTTCTATCTTATTTGCTCCTATTTAAAAAATAAAATAAAATCACTTGATAATTAATAGTTATTCACATGATTTTTGCAGTGTCCAGTCCTCGAGAGTAATCTATCTCCTGGTTGTAGAAATATTAGTTGGATTTATATCCTTCATGGAGATTTATCGCAACAAAATTGGCATTGTGGAATCACAAGATTCATGTTGGGGTTATTACTCATCAGTTTTTGAACGCATAGGTTCGTCCAGTTGATTTTTGCTCGGGTTGCCTTTGACTTACCTTATTTCGAGAAACAAAACTCTGGTGAAGCATTATTCTTTTTGTGCATATCATTGAGAAAGTTTGTTTTTGTTAGAAATTATGTTTGTCCCACATCGAAGTTACTGAGTTGTTATTGTGTGTAAGTGTGGGTTGGCAATCTTTCCCTTTGGGCTAGCTTTTGGGGATGAGTTCTACGCAGGCCCATTTATCATGGTATCATATGAGTTCTACACAGGCCCATTTATCATGGTATCATACCCATGTTTGGTCCCATTCTACCCAGACTCGTTTATCATGGTATCGGAGCACCCCAGGTTTGTTTGTTTGGAGGCGATAGTGGGTTTTGGACCAGGCCCATTTGGTTTGGCATGATACGCCTGATAGAGGATGCTAGAAGTTGTGTTTGTCCAACATCGATTAGTTATTGGGTTGTTATTGTGTATAAGGCTTGGGCACCCTATCCCTTTGAGCTAGCGTTACGAAATGAGTTCTACTCAGACCCATATATCATTTTTCAATTATTGAAGCTACTCACATTTTAGATGTCTTAAAACTTGACTTGAATGGTTGCATTATAATATTTTTATGTGAGATTTGGGAATATCCTCCATTTGTAGGTTAAAGATCTACATCTATTATCAACGATGGTTCAATCAGAAGATGTTAACATTTTTTTTCCCTTTAGTTGTGCAATATGAAATTTGAGAAAATAAGTTATCTTGCTGGTGAATTGCTACTGGAAGAGAAATTATGATACCTAGGAATTTCCTATATCCTAAGAATATTGGGCTTTGTTCCGCAATTCAATAGTTATGTCTTACACAATTCAAGTTTTTTGTTCATAAACGGTAGTGCATAAATTTGTCTAATGCTGCTCGGTTGTCGGTCATGCAATAGTTTGCAATGCTATAGGACTTCATTTTTTTTGTCTTGTTCGATGATGTTGTATATTGATTATGTTATTTTACTTCTTTTTCCAAATTGAAGGTTATCGTCTTAGGTTGGTCGCCTGCTTATTACTTCCTGCTGTGCAGTTGGCTTCTGGAATCAGCTACCCGTCCTGGCTCTCCTTGCCCTTTTTTATCTGCAGCTGTGTTGGACTAGTTGATTGGTCTTTAACAAGCAATTTCTTAGGCCTTTTCAGGTAATTATCTCCTATATATTGAAATAATTCCTTCTAGGACTAAAGATTCGCTCTTCTGTGGACAGATAATCGAGCCAATGAGAAGTCCATTAAATTATGTTTCTGGCATTCAGTTTCAATCTGTCTTATGTTATTTTGTACATTGCTTGAAGGTGGTGGAAGTTACTTTGGGTATACTCTGGCTTCTGCATTTGCTTGCTGTACGTGTATCAGCTTCCTGTTGAGTTTCCATATTCTTTTCAAGTGATAGCTGAGTTAATTGGTCTATACAAAGCATCTGATGAATCTGACTGGCAACAAGTTATATCTGGTTCATCTTTGATGGTGTTCTTCTATATGGTACGCATTTGTCGTATTATCTTTCGCTTGAGATTTTGACTGCTTACATGTTCTTAATCAGTAGGTATCCGTATATATTCGTTTTTATATTTACATGTAATATAAATAGGTAATATTATCTTTCACCTGTCATATTGTTTGTGTTCTGATGCAGATGCTTTTTCTTTATTAACAGCTCAAAAGCTTTTATTTCCTGGTATTGGTTGTTATGGATGGCCAAGGCTGGAGCTCGTCTCCATTAAAAAAAAAAAATCATTAGGTCCATGTATCAGGGCTAAATGCCAGCCATATCAAATCTGACCCCTGTAATGTATTTTGAGAGCGTCTTCAGCCTAAATTTGATATGTAAATAGTCTAGGACATGCATTGTGATAGTACTCCGTCACCCCAACCCGGTTCTCCTTCGATCCTCCACCACGTTGAGCTCCCCAAGACCTGCAAAGACGCCGGTCTTTGCAGGGAGCTGCTCCCGGCGGTAAACCTCCGACGCTCAAGGTAGAGGAAAACTAAGTGTAAGTAATATTAGGGTTTGTAGAGTGTGATTACCCTTTACCTTTACCTTTGTTTACCTATTTATATCGAATTATTGGCTTGTTCAACACGCCTTTGTCTTTCCTCCATTGGATCATTTATCTCTTTTTAATCCCTCCACGTGTCCTTTATGAACCATTGCTCATAACCTACCCGTCCTACCTGCTCCGTCTTCTGTGGACTTCCGCTCGCTACTAATCCCACTGCTCGGTCTCCATAGGCCTTTTGTTCGGCTCTTGCTCGGATTAATTCACCTCCTCGGTCTTCCATAGCCTGTTGCCATTAAGACGAGCAAACGTCCTCAAATCCGCATATATGCACTCCGGTCGAGCACTTACCCCCATGTCCGAGCACTTATCCTTTTACCGATTATTAGTAACAAATCCCTTGTGCCACATTAAGGTTGCCACTGCACTTGACCTGTCGAGCTACTAAGGACCTCTTACCTATGAAAGACGAGCTATTAGTAGACTTCCTGTTGTGAAAGCCGAGTTATTAAATCATTCAAGTAAGCCGAGCATCTTATACTTTCAACGCACCGAGCTACCCACATTTAGAATAGCCATTTGCCGAGCAATTACTTCAATCTCACTTGTAACCTTCCTACATCCGGCTCATTAAACCGAGCAAAACCTTCGCCGGTTCATCGATCTACTCTTATATGTTATATCATCTAGTCCCCCCATTATCAAACGAGCTATAGTTATCTAAACTCTATAGACTTGTTTGATATTACCAGTAATAGTATCTCGTCCGAGCAACATGTACAATTGATAACGAGTTTCACAGTCAACAAACTTTATGATACCTCAGCCGAGCAACATATGAATATGTCCATAAGTCACAACTGTCGAGCTGTCTTTACAAGGCCTAAACCGAGCAAAGCTTCCAAAGCACGCCTCGTATACCGTACCCGTCCTGTCACTTCTATGCATTTATGGTCTTTGGATTCCACCCCAAGATTTTTCTAGCCGTTAGATCCACTTTGATCTAACGGTTCCCCTTCGATCCCTCTTATCATAAATAACTTCATCTTCTTCCTTTTTTCTTTTTTTGCACATTTGAAATTGAAGAAATCCTATCTCTCACATCTGAAAAAGAAATCTCTTGACATTTTCCGGCCACCGTGCTTCCTGTTCGCCACCGCCGACAACTTTCTCATCCGGGCATTTCAATCATTTACCATGGGTACGTCTTCCTCCATGTTCCATTAAATTTTTGATACAATTTTTCGACTTGCTTTATGTTTCTTCTCCCTTCTCCATCTTCTTCTCTGCTTCTTCTTCCTTCTTTTCTCTTTTTTTTTTTTGTGCGAAATCGATGTTCCAAATTGGCCGATCGAGTTTAGGTTTTCCAACTGCGTAATTGAGTTTACTGACCAATTTGGATTTTCCTCATTAAATTAGCCGGCCAGAGAATTCGAATTTTTTTACCATAATTTTTTTTTTAACTGAACCATGCGCTAAATCGCAGTTCTATTTGACTTCTTCGGCCGTTTCATTCAAGTATTTTTTGGCTGCTCAATTTGAATTATGCTCGTATGTTTGTTATGTTGTTTGTTTTATTTTTTTAGATTCCAACATGTCCGATGTTGTGACCATCTCGTCGAGCTCCAAGCACCCCGACCCTAATTCGAGCACTTCATCTGAAGACCTCGTCAGCCATCCTGGTACCCCGAACCAAGCCATGCCCCTTAGGTCCTCCCTTCACCTTCGTGATGAAGTCCAGGGGAAATTTCTTGGGACTCACTTGCTCCTATTTTAGATAGCAGCTCGCTTTCCTTAACACATGACTCCCCAAGGCATCCCTTTGGGAGTGTCATGTGTTAAGGAAAGCGAGCTGCTATCTAAAATAGGAGCAAGTGAGTCCCAAGGAATTTCCCCCTCGGCTTCATCACGAAGGTAGGTGAAGGGAGGACCTAAGGGGCATGGCTTGGTTCGGGGTATCAGGATGGCTGGCGAGCTCTTCAGATAAAGTACTCGGATTAGGGTCAGGGTGCTCGGAGCCCGAGGAGATGATCACAACATCGGACATGCTGGAATTTAAAACAAACAACAACACAATAAACATACGAGCATAAGAATTCAAATTGAGCGGCCAAAAAGTACTTGAATAAAACGGCCGAAGAAGTCAAGTAGAACCGCGATTTAGCGCATCGGTTCAGTAAAATAAAAAAATATGGTCAGAAAATCCGAATTCTCCGGCTGGCTAATCTAATGCAGCGATCTCAACCAGGAAAATTCAAATTGGTCGATAAACTCTAATTACGCAGTTGGAAAACCTAAATTCTTCGATCGGCCAATTTGGAACAGCGATTTCGGCCACAGAAAAGAAAAAAAAAAAGAGAAAAGAAGGAAGCAGAGAAAATGAAGGGAGAAGAAACAGAAAGCAATGGGTTTTCAAGTCGAAAAAATGTATCAGGAATTTAATGGAACATGGAGGAATACGTACCCTTGGTAAATGCCCAGATGAGAAAGTTGTCGGCGGCGACGAACAGGAAGCACGGTGTCCGAAAAATGTCAAGAGATTTCTTCTTTTAGATGTGAGAGATAGGGTATCTTCAATTTCAAATAATGTGCAAAATAGGAAGAAGAAGAAGTTATTTATGAACCGTTAGATCAAAGTGGATCTAACGGCTAGAAAATTCTTGGGGTGGAACCCAAGGACCATAAATGCATAGAAGTGACAGGACGGGTACGGTATACGAGGCGTGCCTTGGAATCTTTGCTCGGTTTAGGCCTTGTAAAGACAGCTCGGCAGTTGTGACTTATGGACATATTCATATGTTGCTCGGCTGAGCATAAAGTTTGTTGACTATGAAACTCGTTATCAATTGTACATGTTGCTCAGACGAGATGCTATTATTGGTATTATCAAACATGTCTATGGAGTTTAGATATGGAGTTTAGATAACTATAGTTCGTTTGATAATGAGGGGATTAGATGATATAGCATATAAGAGTGGATCGATGAACCGGCAGAGGTTTTGCTCGGTTTAGTGAGGATGTAGGAAGGTTACAGGTGAGATTGAAGTAATTGCTCGACAAATGGCTATTTTAAATGTGGGTAGCTCGGCGCGTTGAAAGTATAAGATGGTCGGCTTACTTGAATGATTTAGTAGCTCGGCTCTCACAACAGGAAGTCTACTAATAGCTCGTCTTTCATAGGTAAGAGGTCCTTAGTAGCTCGGCAGGTCAAGTGCAGTAGCAACCTTAATGTGGCACAAGTGATTTGTACTAATAACGGCTCGGTTAAAGGATAAGTGCTCGGACAAAGGGGTAAGTGCTTGACCGGAGTGCGTATATGCGGATTTGAGTACGTTTGCTCGTCTTAATGGCAACAGCCTATGGAAGACCGAGCCTATGGAAGACCGAGCAGGTGGATTAATCCCGAGCAATAGCCCAACAAAAAGCCTATGGAGTCCGAGCAGTGGGATTAGTAGCGAGCGGAAGTCCACAGAAGACCGAGTTCATGAAAGGACACGTGGAGTGTCAGGATTAAAAGGAGATAAATGATCCAATGGAGGAAAGACAAAGGCGTGTTGAGCAAGCCAATAATTTGATATAAATAGGTAAAGGGTAATCACATTGTACAAACCCTAATACTACTTACACTTATATACAGTTTTCCTCTACCCTTTACTCTACCCTTTAATGACTTGAGCGTCGGAGGTTTACCGCCGGGAGCGTCTCCCGTCGTCTTTGCATGTCCTGGGGAGCTCAACGTGGTGAAGGATCGGAGGAGAACTGGGTTGGGGTGACGGAGTGCTATCACATTGTGTATTTTCAGTCTGTTTGATGAACCTAAATTTGGCATGCAGGTAATTTTTAGAATTTCAAGCTTTGGTTGAAACATTTTTAACATAATATGCCCATTCAATATATCACCATCATAATATCTGGAAGTTAATTGAATATTCTGTAAGTGATGACACGATATAATGATAAACCAAATCATGATAAAGATTGGTGGACGATGTTTCTATGAGCTACGTAGTTCACATTTGTAGACTATTTGGTGGTTAATGTGGGTTTTATCTATTAGTACTCATTCGGAATATATTTTCAGCTCTCGTGTGTCAGAAAGGATTTAGAAGACATGGAATTCATGATGTCGACGAGAGAAGGCAGTCTGACCGAGCAACTTCTTCCCTCAAAAAACTCCTTTTTTGTTCGTCAGTTGAGGTAAATGCTGCATGACCTTTTTTTTAAAAAAAAAATAGTACTTGCCATATTTTCTTGCATGAATTTGTTTGTGTAGCAAATTGATTTGTCCAGGAACATAAAAAATGGTTTATATCCGAGATCTATATTTGTTAACGTTAAGGTGTTATCACATATCTGCTTTCAAGAGGCTGTTAAAATGTACTCCGTCTTTTGCAGGTCAGGTGCAAGACATACCAATATTTTATTAAGGGGAACAGTTTTCCGGTTCTTCAGTATCAACTGGTTCACTTATGGCTTTCCTGTAAGTAGTTACAAGTTTTCAGACTTGTAACAATGTAATGATGGGTTACTCACAAAACCTATCCTTTGAGTTTAGCCAAAGAAAAACCTTAATCTTGGACAATTAGGCGCGATTGGATATAAATAAAATCGGTTTGATTCAGTACATTCTAAATGTACTAGTGTAATTCATTAGTCAAGATCAACTAATTCCTAAATTACACTACAACCGTTCACGCTAGATTTATCCTGTCAGTCAAAATTGGATATAATTGGTAGCCAATTGCGCCCTTACACCTCACATTGAAACTATGAGAGATGCCTTTGTTTCTTTTATATTATGCTAAACCTCAAGGGTATCTTTTGTAATTATGCTTAATACTATATCATCCTAAGCAGCTTCATGTGTCTAATTTTTATTGACATAATATGACAGGTAGCCTTGTTTGCTCTTTCATACTGGAGCTTCCATTTTGCAAGTATATGCGCATTTGGATTACTTGCATACGTTGGATACATATTGTATGCTTTTCCGTCTTTGTTCCGTTTGCACCGGTTAAATGGATTGCTTCTTGTGTTCATTCTCTTGTGGGGCGTGAGCACTTATGTTTTCAATGTGGCTTTTGCATACGTGAACTGGAAACTCGGGAAGGTACCTCTTTATCATAATCTTCAAGTTAAGTGTACAAGTCTTTGAGTCCACAGTGGGATTTTTATGATCGAATTCTACTTTGATAATCAGGATATGGAGATCTGGGAGATGGTTGGATTATGGCATTATCCTATCCCTGGCTTCTTCCTTCTAGCACAGTTTTGTCTTGGGATTCTTGTGGCTCTTGGTAATCTGGTAAACAACTCTGTATTTCTATGCCTGTCAAATGAGGAAAGACAAAATTCAAATGAGATCAAGACTGAGGAAGGTACAGATGCCCATATGAAAGAGCAATATTTGATTCAATTATTATTTGAGAAACTAGTATTTCGGTTATGTTTCACAAAAATAATCTGATGGTAAAATATGGAATTAATAAATGAGTGATAAAGATAATTTGATTGATTAAAAACCATACAATTGAACAATAGAAAAAGAAATCAAAATATTAAAAACTGTGAAAAATATCTTTTAATATTTGGTTGATTCTAAATTTTGTGTTTTGGTATGTAATTTGTATTTTCTTACGGAACGAAATAATTTTATATGGAAGTATTAGCAACTTGATATTGAACTATTTTCTGAGAAATAATATGGTGTCGTATTTCTTCTTATGTGCCATGAAGAAGCATATCTGACTATTTTATTCATATTGTATGTATGAGGAAACAGTCAAAGAAGATGCCAAGGTGTTGATTGTAGCAACAATTGCATGGGGACTGCGGAAATGTTCTCGGCCTATTATGCTCTTGCTGATTTTCCTAATAGCTACGAAACCTGGTTTTGTTCACGCAGTTTATAGTATGCTAAAGTCTACGCTGTTTATGCTCTTGCCTATTATTTCTTTTTTCCACCTCATGCATTGTGAATTGTGATGCTCGCTCAATTTTCTGATTGCTTATAAACTGCCTTTCCTTTCAGTGATATTCTTCTTTGCATACCTTTTAAGCCATAACATCAGCACAAGGATGCGTCAATCCCTTATTCTTCTGTGCGAGGCTCACTTTGCCATTTTATACATTCTTCAACTTAGTCTTGTCTCGAGGAAATTGGGCCAAAAAGGCTCTATAAGTTTTGAAGTGCTATCACAGTTAGGTGTGGGTTTTATTGATATTAAGATTAAATTCTGTTCCTACATTCTATATTTTTCTTTTTCTTCCTTTTTTTTTTTCGTTCTCACATACCTAATACCTTATATCTTAATTGTTCCTATAACTTGCTTGTAAATATCTTGTAGGTGTACTCGAAAGCGATAGTTCTTGGGATTTCCTGGAAATAGCTCTGCTTGCATGCTTTTGTGCTGTAAACAACCATGGATTTGAAGTGCTATTCTCATTCTCTGCCATTGTTCAGCACACGCCATCTCCTCCAGTTGGATTTAGCATTCTGAGAGCCGGTTTGAACAAATCAGTCCTTTTGTCAGTTTATGCTACCTCCGACAATAGAGAGTACTGCGAAAATCATTCCCATGGTAATTTGCAACCTTTTCCATCCAAGGATAAGTTATCAGTCACCTCCAACTAATTTGAATGCAGTTAAAACTATGAGCATTTTTACGGTCATCAAAGTTAAGAACCTTGGAGGAACATCTGTTGGCTTTTTTCAAGTGCAAACTTTTGCTTCTAAGTTTGAATTAAATAATCAGAATGTAAAGGTAGTTGGAGTGCTGCGTAAGTTTTCTTAATCTGTTTCTCATTTGACTTGTGTAAACTATAAATACTTTGACAAACAAACACTTTGAACTCCTGATTCTCAATTACTTTTGACTTTTGTTATGATAAATCACCTCTTATAAAAGCACATGTTTTGCACTCGATAAGCTTGGCCTACCGGGATCAAAGTTATTTTATAATATCTAGTACTCATGGTTGCTAGTTTTTTTTTTAGTATATATTTAATCTGCAACGATTATATTCATATATGCTAATATTTCACCATGTTTTCAGAAAGAAGGGTGGCGTTATACCTGAGTGCTATTGGAGAGAAGTTCCTGTCCATGTATAGATCATTTGGGACCTATATTGCTTTTCTGACTATTCTTCTTGCGTTGTACCTTGTGAGACCAAATTACATATCGTTTGGGTACATTTTCCTTTTGCTTGTCTGGATAATTGGAAGACAGCTTGTCGAGAGGACAAAACGGCGTCTATGGTTTCCACTCAAAGCATATGCGATAGCTGTTTTCATTTTCATCTATATTCTAAGCATTTTCCCCACTTTGGAGATGTGGATGTCCAAAAAAATTGATCTTTACTTATGCTTTGGCTATAACACGGAAGCTTCTTTGTTAGAGAATCTTTGGGATTCTCTAGCGATTTTGATCGTCATGCAACTTTATAGCTATGAGAGAAGACAAAGCAAACAAATGAAATTGGAAGATCATGCCCCACTGCAGTTGGGGATATTGGGGTTTGTCAAGCGGTTTCTAATATGGCATTGTCAAAAGGTTTTATTCATAGCATTGTTTTATGCTTCGTTATCTCCAATAAGTGCATTTGGGTTTCTATATCTTTTTGGTCTCGTTTTATCTTCTGCATTGCCTAAAACTTCCAGAATTCCATCCAAGTCATTCTTAGTCTACACGGGTTTCCTGGTGACAGCTGAATATCTATTTCAGATGTGGGGTAAGCTGGTGAACATGTTTCCCGGTCAAAAGCACCATGATTTGTCTCTTTTTCTGGGTTTACAGGTGTATAGACAGAGTTTTGAGGGCCTAGAAGCAGGCCTGAGGGCAAAAATTTTGGTTATTGTAGTTTGTACTCTTCAGTATAATGCTTTCCGATGGTTGAGGGAAATGCCTAGTTCTCTTTTGGATGCCGGGAGATCAGAAGAACCTTGTCCGCTTTTTGTTTCATCTGGAGATATTTCTAGTGTTGTCCCCACATCAAACAGAGATAGCCAGACAACATCCAACTCTAGTTCAGAAAGGATCAAGAGAAATTCATGGTCTTCTTTTTTACTTGGTAACTATCAACTATCTTCCGATTCGTCCTCAACTAAGGACACTCACGAGGGAAATAATAGAAAATACCCATTCGGCTATATTTGGGGAAGCATGAAGGAAAGTCGGAAGTGGAACAAGAAAAGGATTGTTTCATTGAGGCAAGAGAGATTCGAAATGCAGAAGACGACATTGAAAGTCTATCTGAAGTTTTGGATAGAAAACATGTTCAATCTCTTTGGCCTTGAGATCAACATGATAGCACTGTTACTAGCTAGTTTTGCTTTGTTAAATGCCGTTTCGATGTTCTACATAGCATGTCTTGCTACTTGTGTCCTGTTGGGCCGTCCTATCATACGTAAATTGTGGCCGGTGTTTGTCTTTCTGTTCGCTACCATTCTGCTTGTTGAATATTTGGCGATGTGGAAAAATTTGAAGCCTTTAAGTCAACATCTTTCCAGTGTGACCCATACACATTGCCATGATTGCTGGAAAATTTCAAATGTATATTTCAACTACTGTGAAAAGTGTTGGCTGGGTATACAATCTATCTCTCTCTCCTCTCTCTCTCTCTCTCTCTCTCTCTCTCTCTCTTTCATATGATACTGACGAAACTTCAACTTTCTAGATAGTATATATCTAGTATTTTTATTTATTCATTTATTTGTTTGCATTACATTCTCTCTTTTTGTAACGCATCTGTGATTTACCTTTGAAAGTACACCCACTTTACTTTATTTTATATATTGCAGGGGTTATAGTTGATGATCCCCGCATACTGATAAGTTATTTTGTGGTCTTCATGCTGGCAAGTTTTAAACTCCGTGCGGATCATGCATCCAGTTTTTCAGGTTTATTTACGTATAATCAGATGTTATCTCAGCGTAAAAATGCTTTTGTTTGGCGGGATCTTTCGTTTGAGACCAAAAGCATGTGGACATTTCTTGACTATGTGAGGGTTTACTGCTATTGTCATTTATTAGATCTCGTACTTACTCTCATATTGATTACGGGTACTCTGGAGTACGATATTCTGCACCTTGGGTACTTAGGCTTTGCTCTTTTTTTCTTCCGCATGAGGTTCGCCATATTAAAGAAGAAAAACAAGGTCTTCAAATATCTGCGCATGTACAATTTTGCTGTGATTGTCCTCTCCCTAGCTTACCAGTCTCCTTTTATTGGTGATTTTAATGTGGGGAAGTGCGAGACTGTTGATTACATTTATGAGGTGATTGGGTTTTATAAATACGATTATGGATTTCGAATTACCTCGAGATCGGCACTGGTCGAAATCGTCATTTTTGTCCTCGTGTCATGCCAATCATACATGTTTTATTCCTCTGAGTTTGATTACGTGTTCCGTTATCTCGAGGCTGAACAAATTGGTGCGATTGTGAGGGAACAAGAGAAAAAGGCTACTTGGAAAACCAAACAGCTGCAGCACATTCGTGAATCTGAAGAAGAAAAACGTCAGCGCAATTTGCAAGTCGAGAAAATGAAATCCGAGATGCTCAACCTTCAAATCCAGCTTCATGATTTGAATGCCACTAATGCTTGTCCCGAGGCTTCACATGCTAATGAAGGCTTGAGAAAAAGGAAAAAGGGTGCTTCTACAAATCCAGAAAACACTGATGGTAATGTAAATCATGAATCAGTTTCCCCATTCAGTAATGTATACGAGTCTCCGAGTAGTGTACCAACAGAAACTCCATTTTCTGTGGATTTCAGAAAGCATCAAATAGATGCTTCTATTAGTGAGATAACTGAAATTGAGGAGGATGTCATTGGTAATAATGTGATTGACAACATGGATAAATTGAGAAAAAATAAAAACGAAAACCCATTAGCTTCTGCAGTGCAATTGATAGGAGATGGTGTTTATCAAGTTCAGTCAATTGGAAATCAGGCAGTTAACAATCTTGTGAACTTCTTGAATATCGCGCCCGAGGATTCAGATTCGAACGAGTCATCTAATTTGGAAGACGGGCTTTCGTCTGAGCAAAGAAGCTCGGATATAAAACCAATACATTTGAGTAGTTCGGCTTCTTTGATATCCGACAGGAGTCGAACTTCAGAGTCTGCTAGTCTGCAAATTGGACGAATCATACGTTATATATGGTCTCAAATGCGTTCAAACAATGATGTGGTGTGTTATTGTTGTTTTGTCCTTGTTTTCCTTTGGAATTTCAGTTTGCTTTCGATGGTATACCTGGCAGCTCTTTTTCTGTATGCTCTCTGTGTGAATACTGGGCCAAATTACATCTTCTGGGTTACGATGCTGATCTATACAGAATTTTATATCTTGATTCAGTATTTATACCAAATAATGATTCAGCACTGTGGATTTAGCATCCAATGGAGCCTTCTACGTGAAATGGGGTTTCCAACAAAGAAGATAACATCGTCCTTTGTTGTGAGCTTGCTGCCTCTTTTTTTGGTTTATTTATTTACCTTAATACAGAGCTCTATAACCGCAAAAGACAGCGAATGGTTTTCGGTTGGGTTTAGCAATGGCAAAGGGGGGTTTTCAAATCGGGACGATTTTTGCACGGGCTCTAGCTGGAGTGAGAAAGTAAAAAAAGCTTTCGAAATAATAAAACGAGTGGTTCGAATAGTGGTCAGTGGTTGCACTCGGTATTGGAAATCACTTACGCAAGAAGCAGAATCTCCTCCTTACTTTGTTCAATTGTCGATGGATGTGAAATCTTGGCCAGAGGACGGGATTCAGCCAGAGAGGATCGAATCGGGTATAAATCAGCTATTGCAGCACGTCCACGAAGAGAACTGCAAAAGTGAACTGCCTTTCAGCTGTCCTTGTCCCAGCAAAGTTCAGATACGGAGTATTGAGAAAAGTTCTGAAAATCCAAATATTGCCTCAGCTGTTTTTGAGGTGGTTTATGTCTCTTCATTGACGGACTGTGTACCTTCCGAACAATTCAAGTCGCTTACCCCAGCAGCTGATGTCACGAAGGAGATACTTAAAGCACAATCCATGGGGATTGCTGATGAAGTTGGGTTTCCTTATTATATAAATTCAGTGATTGGAGGTGGCAAAAGAGAAATTGATCTCTATGCATATGTATTTGGAGCTGATTTGTCGGTTTTCTTTCTGGTTGCTATGTTCTACCAATCTGTCATAAAAAATAAAAGCGAGTTTCTGGAGTACTATCAGCTTGAGGATCAATTTCCAAAAGAGTATGTGTTTATTCTAATGGTAAGGATGCATGCTTCTCTCCTCTTGTGTAATGAATGCTATGTTTTTACGCGAACTTTTGAATCATGTGGTTAATTTTATTCAAGAACCTCTTAATTTTTTGTGAGGGTTGATTACGAAAAGTACCCTTGAGGTTTAGCCTAAGGAGTAAAAAAATTACTCATTACCTTTCAAAGTTACAACCACACCCGTCATATTTGTTTCTCTTTACATATTGCATCCTAAAGGGAGTATTTATCAGGTAAGTATTGACCTCAAGGATTAATGTGTAATTTCCGATAAATGAAGTTTCTGTAGTTAAACTATAGCCCAAGGTAAGTGTTAATTTTAATCATCTCTGCTTGAATTTTCTTGATGACCAGGCAATCTTCTTCTTGATTGTCGTCGATCGCGTCATATACCTATGTTCCTTCGCCACAGGAAAGGTCATCTTTTACATTTTCAACCTTGTCCTGTTCACTTATGCTGTCACCGAGTATGCTTGGAATATGGATACATCGCAGCGTAACACTGCTGGGTTGGCTCTTCGGGCAATATATCTCACGAAAGCAATATCTCTGGCTTTACAAGCCATGCAAATTCGATATGGCGTTCCTCATCAAAGCACTTTGTATCGGCAGTTTCTAACCAGTGAAGTCTCTCTTGTTAATTATCTAGGCTACAGGCTCTATCGTGCTTTGCCTTTTCTGTATGAATTGCGCTGTGTGCTTGACTGGTCGTGCACAACCACTTCTTTGACTATGTACGACTGGCTGAAGGTGTGTCCAAAAATTAACATAAAATAGTAAAGAAATTTGAAAAAGAAAAAAAAAAAAAAAAAAAAAGGTTCAATCCAGTTGAATTTGGATAACTGGGTTGATTATACCTGGTTCAACTGGGCCCCACTATATGGAAGCTAAATGTCTAAACCACATAGTTAAAATTTAAAATGGATACTGATGTTTTTTGTATTTTCTATTTTCAGTTGGAGGACATAAATGCAAGTTTGTATCTCGTCAAATGTGATAATGTTCTGAATAGAGCTGCCCATAAACAAGGAGAGAAGCAAACCAAGATGACCAAGTTTTGTAATGGCATATGTCTGTTCTTTATTCTGATCTGCGTTATTTGGGCTCCGATGCTGGTGAGCAAGTCTCAATTCACAAAAAAAGCTAAACTGAAAAACATACCTCTGTTGAATCGCATATTTCACTCCCAAAACTGGCTTGTTAATGTAGAAGTTGCGTAAATTGTTTGTTTGGTGAAATCATTCTGGACAACTAGTGATTTATTGGTCGATTATGTTTCTTATTTCAGATGTACAGTAGTGGTAATCCCACAAACATAGCAAATCCAATTAAAGATGCCAGTTTTCAGTTTGACATCAAGACAGATGGCGGCAAGTTGACCTTGTACCAGACCACTCTTTGTAAAAGAATCCCGTGGGATGATATTAGTGCAAATGACGATCTTGACCCTCAGCACTATTTGGACTCGTATAACATAAATGACATTCAGCTCATTTGTTGCCTGCCTGATGCGAGTACTCTGTGGCTTGTCCCTAGTGTGGTTCAAGAGCAGTTTATGAGGTCACTTAACAGTAGCATGGATATTAAGTTCTCTTGGGTTCTTACAAGGGACCGACCAAAAGGCAAAGAGATGGTGAAATATGAAAGCAGTGTGGGCCCATCTAATCTCCCTAAATCGTCTGAAATTCAAGGAGTTCTCAACGGTACATACAGCAGCTTTAGGATATATAATATTTACCCGAGGTTTTTTCGAGTTACTGGGTCGGGTGAAGTTAGACCTTTTGAGCAGGAGGTATGCTTTATTTTTTTTTTGTCTACATCCATGTTATTGTTAACATTTTCAGTTTATCATCTTTATTGTTAACTATCGTGACGAAGGGTTACTTACAGCAAAGTGAATTGGTTTGAAAATGAGAGGTCACTTAATTTGTGATTTTGGCAGGTAAATGATGTGAGTGCAGATCTCGTTTTCCACCGTGGGATTTCTGAATGGTGGTCTTTTCATGATATTAATTCTCTGGGTGCATATGGCTGTGGAGCATTGTCTGGACCTATGGCTGTCATTGTATCAGAGGAAACCCCACGTACGTATCTATAGTAGGCAGTGATGTATTTTAAGAAGATTATTTTGATAGATTTTTTTTTTTTTTTTTTTTTAATTAAGGAACTAGAGATTCGGCCTAATTACAGAAAGGTTCCGTTATCTTCCTACATTAACCCCCCATAAAATATTGGACATCCCTACCTTACTTCCAATTGCAAACGATTAATGGGGCTTTTTCTGTACTTCAGCCATTTTTTGTAGTTTAACTTAAAACTTCTATACATTGTTTGTGTTATTAATCCAAGAGTAATTTCCAGAAGGATTTCTTGGTGAGACTCTCAGCAAGTTCAGTATTTGGGGTCTCTACATCACATTTGTACTTGCAGTCGGCCGGTTCATTAGAATGCAATGTTCCGACTTACGGATGAGAATACCATACGAAAATCTTCCTTCTTGTGACAGGTATAATGTCATTAATCCCTTTTCGATCTCCTAATTTCTCCCCTTTGACCCCTCTTAATTTCATTCAAATGCATTTAAATGTTCTTTTCATTCATTTTTTTTTTTTTTTTTCCAGGTTGATAGCAATCTGTGAGGATATTTATGCTGCAAGAGCTGAAGGTGAACTCGGTGTCGAAGAGGTTCTTTATTGGACGCTCGTGAAGATTTACCGATCTCCACATATGTTGCTCGAGTACACAAAACCCGAATAGCTTTTGCGAATCAAACAATAATACCTTAAAAGTTGACAAAACAGCCGATAAATAGGATCAACTAACATACATTTCATGATACTAACTTTGGAGCATGAAGTGTCCGGTTCAGATTTTGCTTCTTAACTTGTGCTTTTAAGTTATCTACATCGAGAAATCATCGCGAGATTGCGATGGCCACTTTGTATATAAAGTATTTCAGAGAAATAGCTTCCAACTCAAAGGGTAAATAGAGATTAGTTGTATGTGGCTCATTTTTTGCCTTGTATGAAAGTCTGATGATTGTATATGTAACAATGAGAAATGAAGGATCCCATATTGTTTTTTCCTACAGAATTTGTTAGGAATAGAAGAACAAACAGAACTATTGATGGGATGAGTGTAAAAGGGACCATTTTTTTTTTTTTTTTTTTTTCCATTTTGCTATATGTTGGTTTACTAATGGATCTGCTCCTGCTGCATATTGGTCAACTATACTTAAAACAAACAAACTACTGTAAAATCAAGTCTCACCATCGAACGAATCAACCAGGCTACAACCAGAGTCGGATTTGCTCTTTTGACAGGTTCGATCTGTGAATGACCCACAACTGAGTGTCGGCATGTGTTTGCGCCTAATTTCTTCGTGTTCTTCTTGGTTTAGGATGAGTCTTCATTTGAAGTACTCCTCAACAGTCGGGTTGGGATGAGTCTTCAATTGAAGTACTCCTCAACAGTCTATCCCTGACAAGGAAAAGTGCAAATGTGGAATTTAAGCCATCATTGGATACATATATATCCGCTTAAGACGAGATTTTTATTAATCATGGTTAATTTTGAAAAAAATGTGGTATGACTAGTAGTTGTTACTGAATTTCGAGTTTACACTAAAATAATAATTAAAGTTGATTTGATGTAAAAGTATGAGAGATGACATGAAGAGATGGTTAATTAGAATTATGTGAGTGAATGTATAGTGAATGTGATGTGTAATAATTATTAATTTATATTATTTAATTATATTGATAATAGTGGGTATAGTGAAGTTGAGTCGAAATTGAGTTAAATTTTAAGTAAGAATTGAGTACGAGTTTGAGTTATTTTATATAAAAATGGCCCCTACGGTTCAAGCGAAACTGAACTAACTATGTCAAGGATTTACAAAGAACTTTCATGCAAATGTTATAGAAATTATGATTTATTTAAAATTATCTTAAAGTAAATAGGATTGAAATTTGGTTAAAAGAAAAAAACAAAAACGAATAGTATTGTAAAGATTGATATACTTTGATGCTTGATTAAATAAAATTTGATATATAATATTTTGATTTGATATTTAACAATTTGAGATTATATTGCAATAATTTCTTATAATAATATAGGATATAAGATAATATTATACGCTGATTGCAATGAACCCAAACACATAAAATAAGAATCTTTTAATTCGAAATTGGTGCTCAAATAATTGCCTACATTTTAAATAAAAAATCATATTATAAATATGAGGTGTCATAAACTTCATTTTATTTACTATTATAAATATTAGGCGTCATAAAAAATGTCTTTGAAGTTGTTACTTTGATAAAAAAAAAAAAAATCGTCCAATTCTCGGATGGACTGATAAAATGATGACGTGACCGGATTAATTTCAGGCGTGTGAGGTCAAATTCCTACATGGATGCATTCAAAAATGGTTGTCGGATTAATTTCTAACGTGGAAGGTCAAATTCTTATATATATGGAACTATTGTTCATTTTCATGACTAACAATATTCTTTTATTTAACAAAAAAAAAATAGTATTTATTTTGCCAAATATTGATTTGCGCCACTCTCATGGCGAGCCTCGCAGACAAGACCCAACAAATTAAGATCGATAAATTATGGAATGATATATCAAACCGCAATATAAATTATTAATTTGAGAAATAGAAATCAAATATTCTTAATTATATATTTTTATAAAATAAAAAAATTGTTATATTGCTTTAATATTAAAATATTATAAATGAAAATATGAAATTTTGTAAAAACTTTGAAATAATATAACTGCAATTATCACATTGTCATATCATTATAAATAAATGAAAATGACGAAAATAAATGTAATATTAAACAACGTATTGATATTAGGTTGATGTCCTTCGTCAATTTAGTATGATTATTCTGTGAATGGTACGGAATAAAAAATAAAAAACAACACAGCAGTTGTATTATTGAATTAACTTAGATAACTATATAAAGTTTTAAAAAAATGTTGTAGAATGATTATTAGTTTATTGCAAAGAAGCTTTATTATGAGATTAATATAGATAACTATAGAATTATAGAAGTAAATGAAAGATAGACGGATTATTGCACATAAAATCGATCAACGCACTCAATCAGGTGAGGGTTGAAGTTTAACTGATTATATAATGTTAACAATTTTAAATTATAAATTAATATATAATTAAATAGATATGTTTAAATTTATATATTTTAATTAACACAACCTATAAAGTATATACATACAATTCAAATCTATCTAACTTTTACTCCTCCAATATTTCTAATTAGAATGTACTTCTGTAGACAAATGAAGAAAAACTTGACCAATTAATTAGAATGTACTTCTGTAGACAAATGAAGAAAAACTTGACCAATTCTTCGTAACGACGAGGTTTGGAGCCTTGTTTCTTAGGAAACCACTATTGCTAGCTCAACTGGATCAAGTGTCTACATTTGGGAAACTAGCACGGAATTAAGCTTGTTGTCCTTAATATATAACACAAAAAATTTGGTATCTTTAAATTACAATTGATTTGTGCTTTAATTTTCTTTTACTAATTTAAATTATAAATATATATTTTGATATTAATTTTTTTTTTTTTGCATTTGTTATCAAATTTTCTTACATAATATATCAAACTAATTATATATTTTTAGTTTCACATCTAATATATATATTAGAGGTGGCAAGGGTCGGCCCGACTCGTCGAACCAGCCGGAACTGGCCCGGGCATACGGGTCTTGGATCTGAACCCATGGTAAAACAAGCCGGTTTCGGGTCTTAGTTTTGCATTTTTTACCCGCCGGTTCCTGGTTGGAAGGCGGATCCGAGGTGGTTTTTATTTTTTTTTACTAATAAAAATCGGCACTTCAATGAATCGTCAGGAACCGGCCCTTAGATGTAGCCCGATCAGATCATGAACCGGCCTGCCTGATTGCCACCTATGTGTGTATGTGTGTGTGTGTGTGTGTGTGTGTGTGTGTGTGTGTGTGTGTGTGTTTAAATGAGAATGAATCAGAAAGACATAAGAATTATCTATTCATTTGTTTTAGTCTAACACTATATTATATACAGAGAGACGTGATCACATGAGGATGGTAGATAGCGAAAAAAATGAGGATAAATATGTACATTGGATCCATCAAGACAACGGTAGTGATCAAGTCAAGCTTTAATATATGTCATTCAAACAGAAATATAAATAAATATGTACATTGGATCCATCAAGGCAACAGTCATGATCAAGTAAGACTTTAATATATGACAGTCAAACATACGATGACAATATTGTGAGTAAGTGGATATATCATGGTCAAACATCATTTGACCACTCACTAAGTGCAAATTAGACAATCACACACCCACCAAGTGGACCCCAAACCACTCCATCTCTCTCATACACATAAACACAAACGCACACACACACACACACATAAATTCACATACTCACACATACACACACACAACCAGGTATGTCGTTGGCCACCACGATCACCTTAGCAACCATCAGATCCGCCAGTCCCATTGTCGACACCACAGCCCGCCGCCGCCATCATCTTCGGCGGTCCCGTCGCTGCCTCCACCATTCCGAACATTCTGGTACTCATGGCGAGTGCAATCAAGTCGGTTGCAGAGAGTTGGTTCTGAACCTTCACTGGTGGTGTTGAGGAAGGGGATTATATATATACACATTATTTTTTTGTAGAGGAAGGTGTCGGGGCGATTGCATGGGAAGAAAGAGTTGGTGCATGGATAAGACTTGGGAGGCGAGGACGACGTATTTAACGGTAGTAACAGGATCGACGGGAGTAGTGCTCTGCGAACGGTGGGAGGATTTGGGTGACCGAACAATTTTTGAGATTGTGGGACTATTTTTTTTTAAAAAAAAAATGATATGTTCTTAAATTTCAATATATTCCAATTTAGTACGCGAGACAAATTATTAATTTACTAAAAGTTTAATACATGCATAATAATGATACATGAATTACACAATATTGTGCGAGTACATGCAAATTAAAAATACTACAATTTATGCTCACAAATTATTTCGAGCATTGTTTTGAAACCCTATACCGACCTGACGGGTCGATCTCTGGGACTGACTCAGGTGGGTTGTTCGGATTGAGTAGCAACGGTCAAACCCGTTCAACTTGCCTTTGACCCAGATATTGACTCAGTTGAATCAACTCGATTTGATCCGATCGTTAAATATTTTTTTTTCTTTTCTTCTTTTTTTTTTCATATAAATTATAGATATACTAATGTGGTAATTATTTATGACACAATATCATTAAGACTTTGGAATATAAAATTTACACATAAATAATTTATTTTTATTATTCTATTTATAATCATAAAATATTTATAATAGCGATATAATTTAAAATTTTATAAAATGAATTACTCAATTTTTTCAAATGACCCAACGAGTGGACTAGGGACTCTATAACACGAGTTCAGTCTGGATCAATCACATGTTTTAAAACTATATTGCTTGTTTGTTCTGGAATAATAATAATAGTAATAATAATAATAATATCAGTCGGTAATTTAAATATCATATTGTACCAGCCGGTAATATCGGAAACCGGCCATTTGTACGGTATAATTACACACAAATTACCTCAGATTTACTGTTATACCGGTTTATACTGGGATCATACTGTATACATCAGTACAAGATACATGCCAATATAAAAATAAAAAAATTAAATTTATTAATTTAAAAACATAAAATTTAAATTGATTTAAAATGTTTTACTTTTATCTCATTGAGAAATTGAAATCAATTATTATGAGCATTATTATTTTATTTTTTTACATTTGGTATTTATTTTTTATTTTTTTGGTATAGGGACCTTCCGGTTTCCGGATCCACAGGGGAATCGACTAATCCGGAATCGAGCCGGGTAGGACCACAAGGGCGGCAAAGCTCTCCCTCAAGAGTTTTAATACTGCTGCATTCCCAGAGTTCGAACACGCAACCACTGGTTAAGCTGGAAGAGACCCAAGTCATCTCATCCAAGCGCTCTTAGGTTGGTATTTATATTTTTATGTATACTTAGTGCGTGTTTGCTTGCTGGGATGGGATTGGACTAAAATAGTGCAATGGTATAGGATCGTACTGTTTGGACTAATATTATTCTATGTTTGGTACATAGGATAAAGATTAGGATAACTTTATTTTTAAAAAAGATAAAAAAGTGTTTATATGAAACATAATGGGGTAAATTACTTTATTACCCATGTGAATAAATCGGTTACAAAACTGAGGTTTTCTCCTAATCTCCTCAGAAACTCTCCTCCCCAGCTGTGTTCTTCATTTTGTCGAGCACTTTTAAACTCGTGCTCTCAAATCCCAGCAGCTTAGCCCCAATAAACAGTCTCAATTTCACGCACACAAGCCACCGTCCATTCTCGCCGGAGCCACGCCGATAAAATCTCTGCGAAGCAGCATTCATAGGCTCTTTAGCAGAGTCTGAATGAAGATTCTGCAACTTAATAAGTTTCAAATCAAATCTACTCTTACCTTTCAGATTGGGACAAGCTCAATTGGCAGATGAGGAAGAAGAATTGAATATAAATTCTCCCACAGGTTCGAACGATAAAATCTCTGCATAAATTCGATACAATTGAGCCCAGTTCGAACGAGACCTCTGCATAAATTCTCCCACAGGGAGTGGGAAAACACTTGCTTATGCTTTGTCGATTGTGTAGACGATTTCTTCTCGAACAGTAAAATGCCTTCAATTGTCTTTTTTTTTTCGGTTTGACATTTGTCTTTTTTGTTATAATTTGTAGCAATTCAATTGAAACCTTGAAAGAAATTATCTTGTTTATTCCTGCTGTATATTTGCATATTTGGGTTTGATATTCTGTGTTGGTTTATGTTATGATTATGCTTTGTAGAAAAGATGAGTAGCTTAGCTGGGCAAAGCAGCACCACAGAATTTAGAGATAAAGCCTTCGATGTGAGTTTTAGATTTATGTTCGCGACGATGTGAGATGATTAATGGGAAAACTGATTATAGGTCTAGTTGTAATTTATGTTATAGGGAAGGTCAAAACAGTCCGAAATTTATTAAAATGAGGGTAATTTCGACTTTAGCTTCTCGAGTTCCCATGTAAAAGGAAGGATTCAATTATCCTGAATTCATGGGATAACTCATTTTTTTATACCGGGCCGAATCAATCCCGCGGGCCTTATTACAGTGAACCAAACATAAGATTAGGCCAGGATTAAGCGGGATATCCTGCCTAATCCTACAAAACAAACAGGGGCTTATAGTATTATATTTACTAGTCCCAGTCCGGTAACACCACCGGTATTACCGATCCTTATGACCACCGTTCTGTATTTAAAACACTGATATCAGTAACCACTGATGATTGAACGTCTTACAGAGGCCCAGCAATATAAAATCTGGACAGAAAAAGAGACGGATGATGGTAATAATATAATGCAAAAAAGGGATGAAATATCAATTAGGGTTCATCACTTAATCTGCCAAATGGATTCTGTAAATCCACTGCCACAATTTGATTTCCGATTTAACGAACCAGGGTTACAGGAGAAAAAATGGTGTTGTGGGAAGAGGGTTACAGGCTTACAGCAAGCTTGGTTACAGCACGCTATATATACGCTCGTATCACTACACAGTGCAAGAGCGAGACTGGAGCTACTGTGTGCGTGAGAAAGAGAGTCTGCGAGTTTTTAATCTCTGACGAATACTGGTGGAATCTCAAGAATTTTGAATTCACGCTGTCTGTGAGTGATCCTTTCTCACTGTTTAATCTAATTACTTTTACTTGGCTGTTCATTTTCACGGTCCTCGGCTGTATTTGATGTTTTTGTGTGAGAGATGAGAATTCGTCACTCTAATTGTTTTGCTCATTTTCTGTAAATATTTTTTATTGGGTTTTACTTTCTATTGCTGCTGTGCACGGTGCCGTTTTCTGCAGGGTTTCATTCAAAATTTTCAGCGGTTTTGGGCCTTGATATTTTTCTAAGTAGTGTTGATTGTTTAGTTAACTGGATGTGCTTAGTGGGTTTTGTCATTTTCAGGGTCCTTGGTTTTATTTGATGTTCTGCGAGAGAAAAGAGAAATTTCCTACTCTGATTATTTGCTCGTCTTTTGGTTTGGTTTTACTTTCTATTGCTTCTATGCACGTTGCCGTTTTCTGCAGGATTTCATTTATTTTTATTTTTGGCTGTTCCGGTCATCTTCTAGTTTTCGTTGGAGATTTTCTTGTCCTTTTTTCCTGTACTAGTACTCTGTAACTGTTTTGGGCCTTTTTTTAATTTTTGTAAATAATTTTGATTGTTTAGTTAACTGGGCATGTTTAGTGGTTTTGTTTCCAATCCTGAATTCTTTGGGTGGTGTTGATACAAGAAAGTTATAAGGAGGTTAATTTGCTCTGAAACGTTTCATGTACCTTCGATTCTCGATTGATGGGAATTTTCTTTGAGTACTAGTGTATTTTTCTTGGTTGTGTTTCTGTCATTGATAATGGGTAAGGGTTTAGGTGTGTTTGGATGAATAGTGTTCAGTTTTTACACACTTTTTTCCTACTGTATCCTCCCTTTGCAGATCTACCCGTTTTATTCTCGCTGATCATGGCTAGTTGGATTATGAATAGATGAAGGAACGTTTTTGTGCGTCCTGTTTTGGTAACACGTTATGTGATCCGTGTATCTTTAATTATCTGCTTTTGTTTTTAGTTTTTACCCTTTTTTTAATTGGTCTTGGGTAGATAGATAAAGTAATATGCGTCATTGCATTTAAATAGATTTTCTGATATCTGCATTTGTTTCCTTATTTTCGTGCATTATGTCCTGCTAGCTAAGCCATTGTGTGGGTCCGGATCAGTTTGTAAGAAGTACTCGATTCGGCTTATAGAGGAATGACAGCCATCAAAGCTGTGAGAACCATGTGGCATGTTATTTTTACACGTTTATTAGGTGGCCACAATAAAAAATATTTAATTAGATTCGACTCGTAACTTATTATGTGTCTGTAATCTCGAAAAAATATTTATTTGGATTCGACCCATAACTTTTTTATGTGGCTGTAATCTCGACTTCATATGAAATGTTTTATATGATTTATCATCCACGGTGTTGTTAATTGCTTATCTTACTGCATTTATCTTCGTTTTCTTTCAATTTTGTCATATAGATATACCAATATTATATGCCCCTCACCAAATAGTAAAGTCAGTTACCGTCAAATGAATCTTTTAACAATTGTCACTGTCTCCTTCTGTTCCATTTCTACTCAATTTCTACAATGACTATGAATTCATTTGGATATGCTGCTGATATTGCATTTCATCATCCTAAAGAAAAGATGGGCGAGATTGGTGGCACTGAAGGACATTCATCTGCCTCCGCCAATAAAAAATGGCGAAACAAACAAAAAAAATGTTCATCCGATCTCACATCTCACCTCCCGGACAAGCCATCACCTTTGTCTCCGGCTGAATACCGCAAGTACCAGCTTCTCGAGCAGCAGTTCCAGAACGCATTCAGACAACTAAACTCGATCGTTGAAAAATCCAGAGGCACCAATAAGGAGGCAGCTGCAGAGTTGGATGACCCCGTCACCTTCGAGCTCGAGGGACTTCTATCGAGCTTCTTGTCAACAACTCTCGACATTGCTGTCAGGAAGCTCGTCTTGTGCGGCTACAATGTAGAAACAGCCGAGTGGGCCATCCTCAGCAGTAGTAACTTTAACGGCAGTAAAGATGCTGAGTCCAACATCGTCGAGGGTGCCCTAGCTCTTTTGGAGATGAACGAGCATGTGGAAATGCACAAGAATACTGTGTTTGAGGGCTTCCAGAGCCTGGTTGAGTACACATTACTCGAGATGATCCACGTAGTTCGGGAGCTGAGGCCTGAGTTGACCGTGACAGAGGTGATGTGGTGCCTCTTGATGAGCGATTTGGACCTTGCAACTGCGTGCAGGCTTAGATGTGCCCCGGAAGCCTCCGGAAGAAGCCCAGGGGAATCTTCCGGAACAGGCCAGTCCAGTTCTGTTAAATTGGCGAAAGGGGTCTCTGTTTCTCTTCAGGAGCTGAAGATGGATGATAAACCTGGGCCCAGCGGCAGTAGAAAGGCGCCAGCTATTCATTTCAAGAGGGATTTGCTCTGCCAGAAGGCGAACCATTTCGAGAAGAACTACGGCGGCCGGTTTACAAAAGGGAGCTTTAAGGCCAAAGTTGCTGCATGGGGAAGCATGGTCTTGGACCAGTCACTCGAGTTGCAATCCGGAGGGGTAATGATGGAAAACTACTCCAGATTAAGTATCTCTGAAGGAGGCGAGAAAATTTCTGACGATCCACAGCTGACTGATAAAGGTCAACTTTCTGCATTGCCAGCTGGGAATCTCGACACCTGCATGAGGGGCGAGAAAGTCAATTTTCCTGATCCGCCCAAGGAGCCCACCGATCACTATGCACAAATCCCATTTGATGACATTCTCCAGGAATACGTGGAGGACCAGTTGCTGTTGGTCACCGTGCCTCTGAAGGCGGAGCTCAAGAAGGAGCTCGAAGGGTGGTACGACTGGGCGAATGAGAAGGTCATGCAGGTGGCCTGTAAGCTCTGGAAGGAACTGCCTGAACTGAAAACTCTAAGGCAAGAGAGAAAGGACATTGAGAATTGTAATAAGCAAAAACAGACTGTTGAGGAGAGCAGAGTTAAGCATGTGGCTGAAATGGATCACAGGTTGGCTAACGAGATAAATCAGATCCAGATGTCCAGCTTTACGGTTAAACAACTTGAAACCGAAACTGATGTGCTGAGGAGGGGAATGGAGGCTGCTAGGATGGAGGCTCGCGGATCGGAGGTAAAATTGGACGAGGCTGCTGCGAAGGAGCAGGAAATTATGAAGAAATTGCAGGCTTGGGAAGTAGAGAAGGATTTGATGATTGAGAAATTGACTATTACGAGGCGAGAAATTGCTGAGTTGGAGAGTCAGATTGGGAAGAGGAAAAATCGCCAGAATCAGTTCAAGGTATGTTTGGTCCGTTTCAACGACACCGAGTTTGAATTTTCTAAGTGCTTTTTGTTGTTTATGCTGCTTGGCGATCAGTTCAAGGTATGTTTGGTCCGTTTCAATGACACCGAGTTCGAATTTTCTAAGTACTTTTTGTTGTTTATGCTGCTTTTTATCTTGTGGTGGTCTTCAAGTGTCTTGACAATATTCTGTTTCTTGGCTGTCGCGGGTAGCCATGCCCTCTAAAGTTTTGGTCTAGTTACAAACAAATCGACTGAGTTGCAAATTATTGAACCCACTTAATGCTTGTTTCTAAAGTTTTGGTCTAGTTACAAACAAATCGACTGAGTTGCAAATTATTGAACCCACTTAATGCTTGTTTCTAGCTCGTTTTTGTTGAGATATTACTAACCGCGGAGGATTTTGATAATACATTGAAATGTCTTTGCAATTTTGGAGCAAGGTTTTTTTCTTATCTCATTTTTTCTTATAAACCATTTATAATATTTGTGGTTTTCTCTTGTGCTTAAGAAACTATTGATGATGGATCTGCGCCTGAAATTGTTTTTAATGTTATAGTCAAGTCTGGCAGTGTTGAACATATCTGCCTGAGATGGTTGGCTTTTTATGGTAATATGTCAAATCTCATAAAAGTCCTTGCTTGTTAGTGTTGTTTTTAACCCATCTGTTTGAGATGGTTGGCTTTTTTCCGGTGATTTGACCAAATCTCGCTGGTCTTTATGTAACTCTCATTTAAAATTATCTAGTTTTGCTCGTCCAAAGCTGGTTTTGTGCCTAAATCAGCCTAGTTGCCCAGATAATTTTCTTTTGCCATTACCATTTATATATATTCTCTCATCATTAATATATTCCTTCAGGTTCTGTTGAGGCAGGAAGAGAAGGAGAGACTGAAAGACGAGAGAATGATTGATTCCCTGAGGAGGAAAAGGGAAAAAGTAGAATCCGTAATGAAGGCAGAAGCCGACAACATAAACCGAAAGGTACAGATGAAAAAACAAAATTTTGAAGACAACATCAAGAATCTCCAGAGAATGGTCTCCGAATTGAAGCTGGAGTCTGAGAAGAAGAAAATCGCGGCTCTAAACGCTAGCTATGGCTTGAATGTTCCTAATGTAGGTAAGAGATTGACTGTTTTTCAGGAGATTTACGAGACTGGCGTTGCCAAGGAGGAGAGGGAGTGTGTGATGTGCATGAATGATGAGATATCGGTGGTTTTAGTGCCTTGTGGTCACCAGGTTCTTTGTGGGCCGTGCAATGATCTTCATGAGAAGCAGGGTATGAAGGACTGCCCGTCCTGCAGGGGAATGATCGACAGTCGGGTTTCTGTCTGTTTTCGGTAGTGATATTATTGGTAAATGGAGGTGGCTTGACTTGAGAAAGGGGGATGTTTATTAGAGAGAGAGGAGAGTTCTTTGGGGATTTTTGTTGTCGCATTTTACGAATCGAGTTGATTGGCATCAGTAAAATGTGGCCCTTTATGTTGCTTTCCTAGGCATTTTACGAATTGAGTTGATTGGCATCAGTAAAATGTGGCCCTTTATGTTGCTTTCCTAGGCATTTTACGAATTGAGTTGATTGGCATCAGTAAAATGTGGCCCTTTATGTTGCTTTCCTAGTACTGTTCATTATGAATTAATTTAGGAAAAAAAATGAAATAAGGTTGTCTATTTGGCCGGAGACCGACTGTACTCCGTATAGTTTTTTTTTTT